CCCATGCTAGGGTAAATCATCAAAATATGAAGTGCAGTTAACCTGCTTATCAATGCAAGAAAAAACACATTCACATAAAAACTGAAGCATCTCTACTCAAACCTTCATTGTCCTGTACAGTTCAGAGCACATTTGAATGTATTAATATTAGGGCTGTAAATTGGCAAGAATTTGGTGATACAATACAAATCATGACACAGGTGTCTCGATATAATTTATTGCGATATATTGCAACATATTGCGATCCCGTAAGCAAGGCAGTATATTGCCATTTTTATCCAAAATTTCTAATAACGAAAAATAAAAACTCTATATGTTTTACATGTATTCAATGTGTTCCATATTTCTGATTTTATCCATGTTTTCAATGGTTAGCTTAAATGTGCCATTAAATAGTTTGATATTACCGTATTTATTCAAGTATACGTAAAATTTAATCCATAAAATCATCCATAAAGTTGAGGGGGGAAGTATTATACTCGGATAAATATTTTTACTTATGTATTTTAACTGAATCAGCTTCATTCACAAAATGCCTGAGTCCGGAAATGAGACCACGTAGTGAAAAGCAGTTGAAACGAGCTTACCTCTGACACTCCTCCATGCTTCAGAGCGTGATAGTAACAGATCCAAGCAGGCGACATGATGTGAAAAAAAGGGGGGGCAGTCCTGCACCTTCGTAATGATAATGAACTAATGACATTAGCGTGTGACTGGGCCGCTCCTCGAACAACAACAAGCACATTCGTCTATAATGGCTGCCATCTACCGGTGTTCTGAAAAAGTTTGTATCCCTGAAAAACGTTTCCCCACCAGAGGGGGCGCTCGCGAGTAGGAAGTAATCTGCTTGTATCTGCTTGTAGATGGTCCAAATCTCATGTGAAGTCTATGACTTTTGTGTTGGCGCATCCTGGTGGACTATGTGTAAAATGTTGTTAAAATAAAATGAACAGTCCAATGATCATTTCACTGATATGTATAAAGACTGCAAAGACTGAAAAATCTTGAAGTCTGAATGAAATTGGAGGTACTTTGAGGATAAAATTTTTGATGCTTTTTAGCGAAAAAAGTGGGGGTAGTATTATACATGAGATCGTATTATACACGAATAAGTAAGGTAAATATGTTTTAGATTTATATTATTAATTTATATAAAAAGTACAGCCACCCGTAAGAATGCCAGTCATTTCAATGTCATCGGCATTTTACATGGTTGTTGCATTTGGCCGATTCAGTACCATCCCTTAGGGACACACATCCACTTGGGGCACTAATCAAATGCCTGCCGTGCCTGCTGTAATGTGACGGCTCTGAAAGCAGGCTGCAATCTGGAGAAAGAGCATCCCATAAAGGAAGGACACTTCAGTTTGGCTTAAAATATGGAACATCACGGCTATTCGAGACAGCTTGCAACTCTACTTCAGCTTTGAAGGCAGCGGGTGTCAGTCTAATCCACTCAGATTCTAACCATCTGTACTTTGTGCTAATGTTTAATCACAATACTAACATACGAGCTAGCATAATACTCTGGCTCTTTAGGAGTGGAGGAGCCAAATGGCTGTCTGCTGCCAACTAGTGGTTGGAGGCTAAGTTACAATATAAAAATGAACAGGCATGAAAATGTACATGTTAAATCTTAATTAAAAATTGATACAGTGAGAACTGATACAGAATCAAGAAATGAAATATTGTGATATTTCACTGTATCAATATTTTCTTACACCCTTAATTAATGCATCATGAGAAAAGATGTCTAGAAAATACAAGATGTTGTAGAGGTGAATTTGAACACAAAACCCAACAGCAATGCTCCCTGATAACAAACCTGCTCTCCACAGCCTACAACACCTGTCACATTTAATTTGGCTCACAATAAGTTTGGAAAACCTCCTTCAGTGTGAAGACAATCATTATGCTACTACACTCCTAGTACAGTCAAATTTTTTTCCTACTATTTTCTGCTTACCTGCACCCTCACATGCTATGTAGGCCTGCTCTGCTGTGACTCTCTTGGACAGCTAGAGCGGAGGTGGGCAATCCTGGCCCTGCATGTTTTACTTGTTTCTCTGCTCCAACACATCTGATTTGAACAAATGGGTGATTACCAAATTTATGCAGAACCTGAAGAGGTAATTAAATCACTGAATAAATTAAGTCGGAGCAGGGAAAGTTGTAAAACATGCAGGATAGTGGCCCATGAGGACCAGGGTTGCCCACCCCTGAACTCAAAGTAGTAGATCTCATTGAGATTTGCCTGGTGAAACAACAGTTAAATAAATAAATAAATAAATAAATAAATAAATAAATAAATAAATAAATAAATAAATAGCCTCTGCTTTAAGTCTTTTCTTTGACTTGTTCCATCATGGTTCTAGTCTCGTCTGGTTTCACAAAATACTTCAACCCTGGATTTAAACCTCTTTTGGCTGAATATGTGATTTCACCATGGGCTGAGGTGGCACGAGGGGTCAAAGTCGACCCACCGCTGATGCTCCTTTGTGTCACTAAATCCTCTTTCACAAGACAGTTTTCCGAAATCGCCGCACAGACCGGTTCGGTTTGGCTTTAAGCTCCCTTAGTTTGTTCATAAATCACAGGAGAAGCCAGCCAGGTCCTGCTCACATGCACCTGAGCAGCGTGGAACCAAAAGAGGCGTGGAGGACTGCAACATACAGTATTTATTGTGTGACGGACGTATGCCTCGTCTCAAACAAAACAAACTGAATTAACTCATTGTAGTGATCCTGTCGTTTCATATTTTTTAAACTAACTACAAAGTTGCTCTTCTGTGTCATCTTTATTTATTTATTTATTGTTATTCCTGCATTCAGCTCATTATCATTTTCTGAGCTACAGAACCGCGAGTTGCTTTTTCACGAGTTGGTCTGTCCGGGTCAGATTCTACCTCACTTGGGGGCTCAGAGGGTCATCAGAGGCGGGCTCACTTTACTCCACTTTCCGCCTTCATGTCTTTCCTGAATGATCCGAAGAGGACAGAACACGTGTCAGTCCCAGACTGAGCCGTCTTATGAACGAGGCTTATTAAAGGTAGCAACAGAGCTGTAACAGTCCACATGTGGAAAGTAAACTTGCTTTGGATAATATGTTGTTATTCCACACAATCAATGAGATCAATTAATGTAATAGATAGATAAAGATAAAATAGAATTTTATTTGGATTTAAAAGCTGGAACAAATTCATAAAAAGAGGGGTGATGATGAAACCCAGTAATTTAGCATTTAGCTAAAAAGATTAACCACAAAGAGATTCACTACACTTAGTTTATTTGTCATGATTTGAAAATTAGACCTTTGTCACATATTACCTGTGTAGTGCTTCACTCCTCTTTTGTGTCAGGATTTCTGTTTTTTATTTTATTTTTCCTTTTCCTTCTAACTGCTTCCTGTTCAGGATGAGTGTAAGAGGACGGCTCCTCCTCTGGGAGGGTCTTAAATTCCTGACAGCACCTGACACAGATGCTGCTAGTGACTGCTGATGAAGCCAGATGGTATATAATAAAAAATACAATTATTTTACTCAGGTTGACATGCAGGAGTGTGGCATAAAAGCAATTTTAACCATGGCTTAAAACAAGGCAAAGGGTTAAGAAAATATAGGCTATAGTTAAAATACAGGCAACATTTAAAAACCTCACTGACTCTGTCGCTCAGGACTGAACAAAAAGCTCCAAAGGAAATGAAATCTTGTGGCAAAGCTGAACATTTTTCTACTTAATTCATTGACCCGAGGCACTGATGGACAACATTGTTAGAGTCGACTTAGTGGCTGTTTGTTCTTCTCAGAAAAGTGCACAGATCTAGTTGGGCTTGCTGTTCTAATAGTTGCTTTGTCTGCTTCAAACTATTGCCCTGTTTGGGTGCTAGTGGATGGGATGAGGGGGCTCAGTCTAGTGTTTTTATATAGACCTGGTGGGTAAATTTTAGATTAGAATCATCCAGAGTGTATAACTAACTATGTGCACTCAAAGACCAGCCAGATTTAGATCACAGCTATAACCAGTGACAAACCTCAGCTTGAGTTTGGATACCAAACAAACAATGTGAGCTTTAAATGACAGCTTTGTTTTCCTCCTGGAGTTAAAACTGATGGGATGTTCCCTGTACGCTGTCTTTTATTAGAAAACACTATGAGCTTGTATTTAGCTTCAGCACATATTCAACAAAGGATCGTTAACCATCACGCAGTTCTGAGAAAATTTGATGTGCTCCCCGAGGGGGAAAATGATAAAACTTGTGTGTAAGAATACTCTGTGTGCTCCTCAGACCTCCTTGTGAAAGATCCTTTGGTGATCGTCTCCATTTCTCCTAAAGCCAAGCAAGGAGAAGTCAGCTGATCTGAACGTTCACCTGGCCTATCCGCTCGTCTTTCTCAACAGTTTACTGGCGACTTTAGGACCACTGAGCCCTTCTCCATTCCCTTCAGCCTATGCTGTTTGAAAAACCTAACGCAAATATGACATTTTGGTTTCACAAAGCTTGCTTAGATTTTGAAAGTGTGTATGAAATATTCATAAACAGACGTTTATCTCTCAGCTTTTATCTGCATTTCACAACAAACTATTTCCAAACATCCACACAAATAATTTACTTCACTTGAAGAAATTATGCTTACATCACCTTCCTGTCTGTGAAGACGCTGCTTCTGATGATAGTTATAGTAACTATTTTATCATCACGTTAGGGACATGTACACTGGAAGTCAAAACTGTCCTAATTTTAACATTGGGTTGCATTTACAAATGTATAAATCAGCGAAAAACAACCAAAAAGTATATAGAATTAATGTAAATAAATCTTATTAAAGTTCTTACTGACTGAAAACGAGACAATCAGTCAGGATTTTATCAGTCTTCATGTCATCAACATGATGAGCTGCAAAGATCCAGTTACATTCACCCAGTCTGTTCTGTGCTCGTGATTCTGATTCACATCAGGGATTATTCCAATCATTAACACTCAGATATGCTTTTCTTTAACAGAATGTAAAAAAAAACCATCAGTGATTGGATCAGGAAACCGTTTGACATTCATGACTCGCTCCTACCTCTCACCCTGCAAATCCCAGAGAGGAATTCATCTCAGAGTCTTGCTTCCTGCTGCTAAGCTCTCCACGTCTGATTTTTTTCCCCCTCTGCCAGCTTCGATCTGCAGTCATTCTACACTGCTGTTTGTCAGAGGGAATAATGTTTAGTGTTGTCGACCTATGGTTTGATGGTTTAATACGTTGTGGTTATCACATGGATGGAATCAGAATCAGAATCTTTATTGTCATTCACACACAACATCAAGACGCAGTGCAGAACGAAATTATTTATTTAGAATTAATTATGGTCTCCAACTGAAAGGTGAAATGTGAGCTTTAGCCTGCGAATGTGTGTTGTTTCTGTGATTAAAGTATCTCATGATGGATTTTATTAAAACTCAAAAATATACAAATGTACATCTTAACCAAATAACTTTTGGTATTGAGCTTGCCCAACAACTAGTTAACCCTATCAAACACAAAAATGTCTATAACTCAGTTAATTTGGCCGACACTGAGTTAAAATTTGATGTGATAGTAGCTCAGACTGATCCTGATGATGATGATAATAATTTTATTGATGATAATAATTTATTTCAGACAAAAATTTCACCGACAAGTGCCAAAAAATGAAATAAAACCCCATACCTTACTATGATGTACATAATCAGTTACATGGAAACACACCACTCACTCAGTGATTATGTGTCTGAAAAGGAGTATGATGAAGTATGACTTATACAAACATACCCCTTTTCCATTTCTAATTCATCGTATTGTCTTCCAATTTCCGGTCTCCTTCCTGACAGAAAAACGAAATAATAATAACTATAATAATATTTCCTAAACCAGATGAAAATAATACTTACACACTTATTAAACATACTCATCTATCTGCACATATATGTAATACACAGCAATTTACACACCTATATATGGTTACACACACATTCACAAGCCTGCAACCAATTGTTGAGATCATCCACAAGGCTGTATTTCCCAGCCAGGTTCATCCCCTTTGTTCATCTTTATACTTTTGAATAATAACCATTTTGAGTTCTTTCTTAAAATACCTCATGCTTGTACTTTGCTTCAGCTTTTTAGTGAGTTTATTCCAGATCTTCACACCAACGACAGAAATGCACATTCTTTTCCTTGTTGTTGTTTTAGCCTTCAGAGTTCTAAAGTTGAGGTTTTCTCTATAGTCATATTCCCCCACTCTATCAGAAAATAATTTCTGAATCTTTTCTGGTAATATTTTGTTTCTGACTTTATACATAAATTGTGCAGTTTGAAGCTCTACCAAATCAATGAGTTTCAGTAAATAAGAATCTATAAATAAATTGTGGGAATGACAATAAAAATCTACATTGTGAAATAAACAAATAGCTCTTTTCTGTAATGTGCACAATGGTTGACAACACATAACGGATTGCACAAGTTGTTTGTTTAAACTTTCAGTCAACTTTGCTTGTCTTTTAGCAAAGTTTCTTATGGACCACTGAGCAAATTTTAAAGAAACTCTTAGATCATTGGATGCAACTTAGTAACACAAACACGGCTTTAACTGAGTCACTTGTGGTTAATACAGACGTGGTAGTAGCTGAGAATCATCCCTAAAACATTCTAACACATCTAGAAAGCGCTCATGATTTTGCGTGACACGGATAACATACGTATAGATGGACATCACTACAAGAAATTCTAGGCCTTTAATTTAGATTCTATTTAAAACTTTATTTTTAAAACAACATATTTGTTATATACTCTGAAGCCTTTTCTCCATTGTCAAGTCACTTCCTGTCTGTTCATTTCTCATGTGCAGGTGTGTCTCCATGGTAGTGTGTCCCTTACATTGTGGGTGTGATCAGTCATCTTCAGAGGGCAAATTCAGACGTTGTGGTCTTTTATCATCAGTAGTTGGACTTTTTTTTCTAATTTTGTTGCGCACTTGTTTTATAACTGCATTTGTAACTGTGAGTGGCCAGTTTGTCCAAAAGCTCCCAGAGAGTATACCTGCTCATTTCAGATTGCTCTGTTGAGCTCAAGCTGTATGCGCCCGTTTCCTAAAACAGATACAAAGTTTGCACCTCACTCCAGGGAGAGTTTGCAGGAGGAGTTTCCAAGTTCTTTCTTGGCTCAGTCAGTTCAGCATTTTGCTGATGTCACAATCTGTTTTGCTTAATATTTGGTTTGACCCACCTGGAACCATGGCTGGGGTGGATCCAAAAACTGGGCAGGAACTAGAAATGGAGACACATTTGGCCATGGCTGCATCGATGAGAACCACTCACAGCCACACGCATGTAGAAGGGGCTTGAATAGTTTAGCTTCTTTTGTTTTTGTATAAGGATAAACTTTAAATGTTTTTAATATTATGTTAATAAGCAAAACCCAATTTTGGAGATTGCCTTTCAGAAGATCAAATGTGATATTTGTCACTAGTCAATCAGACAGGCTAAATGTTATCATTTATTTAACACTAATCTTTCATTCTCTTTGATACAGTTTCCATTTAAGGTATAAAGTACCAATGCTGTGTCCAATCCACTGTATCGGTGCATTTAGAACAGTGTTGTTTAAAAGGGTGACCGCTGTAAATGAATATGCACCAGTTACCTTTTAACTGGAACACTCATTAACAGTGTTGGCAGTGAATCATGACAGCGTAACGATGGCCAACAGCAGCACAGGGAACAGATCAGGGAACTGCTGCAGGCTCTGCTCCTGGTGATAAATCTGTAAATCAGGGCTTTTACATGTTTACAAGATGCACCTGAGTGTAGGGCTTGTTTTACTGCCTCCTGAGACGCTTTCATCTGTCTTTTAGATTTCATTAAGGATTCTTCTGAGGGTTCATAACACACAGTTACAACAAACCGCACACTCAGGTTTGCTGTTATAGTTTATAAGTGAAAGATTTTTTAGTGCCTGCTGCCATGAAAATGGGGCAGTTATGTAATTGCCTCTTTGAGTTTGTATTCATTTGTATATGTATGTTAGCAAAATATCTCACGAACCACTGAACGAACTTTAATGAAACTGAGAATAGAAGTGTTGAATTTATGTTTACATCCATTTGAAGTCAGCTCAATTCAAGATGGCCTCTATGTATCTCATCCTCAGCAACATGACCATAACACTTTTTTGCTTTATATACGGTATATTGAGCTAATGTGGTTTTAGCTGAGACTCATCCCCAACAGATACTTTAACTGATTGCATATAATGTTATTTTTAAGATATAACCATAATTTCTAAAATGTCATAATTTAAGACAGGGATGGGAAACTTTAATGATGGAAGGGGACACATTATTTGTTGACACTATAGAGCTGCACACTTACCCAAAGGAAATAAAACTGTCATTTTCAAAATGTTTGTGTGTGTACATGTTTGTGCATGTATGTGTATGTTAATTAAACCAACATACAGCCGTAACTTAATATATTTTATGCTCAAGTGCATGTATAATGGTTGTACTGCTGTTTAATAAATATGAATACAAAAGGTTTGAAGCAAACAAAAAATAAACATTTTCTTACTTTAGCGAGCTGAAGTGCAACAGCATAAGACGCCTCGAGTGCAGACTCCTGCGTGTTTCTTGTAAAAGGTTGTTGTTATATACTGTACTTGCAACTTCAGTAAACTCATATTTAGCTTTGTGCAACGTGTTGTAGTGACGACTTATATTAAAATTCTTTGTGGCAGACAGCGTCTCTAGCTGACTAAACACAGAGGTTTGCCTTGAATTCTGTGAACAGACAGTACACATACCATAAATAATAATAATAATTTTCATTTATTGATTTATTTTTACTTAATAAACACTCAAAGCAGATCTTAGATTCTAAGAGCTGCTTCAAATGCTGTGGGCTGCCAGTTGCCCATCCCTTATTCAAGATGATAACACCTTAGATTAAAACTATGGCATGAAAGGTGACAAACAAAATGCATTCCTTGAAGAAATGCTGGTTTTATAATTCGGATTTCAACATCCCCATCTTCAGTTCAGATAAATGATAGTGCTCCTGCCACACACACAAACAGAAACAGACTGACTTTAGCAGACATACAGTATAGAGCAGATTATACCTCAGACAACAGGGACCATATTTATTGTGGCTGTTATTCAGGGATTTTTACATGTAATAATGTAAAATTTGACTCAGACTGTTGAAACCATCCAGCTGTTTGGGTTTTAATAAGCTGAGCTTTTCTTCTGACAGAGGCAGATTTGACAGACGTCTCCGGTTTTCAAGGTCCCAAAGCTTTGAACATTTCTGACAGAACCGTTTGATTTCTGTGGATCGCATCAACATGAAACAAAAACGCATCTGAAAGTTATTTCCTGCCAGCTTTGCCTCTCTTCCTCACCTCAATTTCTGAGAGACTTTAACTAATAATGAAACATTATTTAGAAAAAATTTTTAATCTTTTGTTGCCAAATCGGTTTGGTGGGATCAAGACATGAAAAAATGTTAATTCATTTATAAATAATTCTCAAAATAAATAAAATACACAGACGTCTTTTCAGCTTCCTCGAAAATATGACTCTCTTTAAAATCTGTTTCATATAGTTGGTTTATTCTTTTCCTTATGCTAAATTTGGCTTTTTGCTATTGCTCATTTTCTCAATCCATTAGCTTTTTGCTACTTTTAGCTTTAATCTTGCTTATGCTACTTTAACTTTTAGCTTACTGTCTGGCTGTATTTGTATTTTAGCTAGCTTTTTGGTAGCCTGGTTAAAACCAGCCCCTTGTCTTTCGCTTTGCTTCATACGAGGGTCTGGACTTGATGCATAGAGAAGCGATTCTTGCTGGAGGCGTGGCCTCTGTTGAAGTTTGAAACGATTGGATTGGTTGCTCACCTGTGTACGCCAGCTCCAGTGTGAAGGAGGCTAAGCTAAGAAGCTAACCGGAAAGTGCGTGTGCTGTAAACAACCCTACCAAGAGAACAGAAGTACCGAGCCGAATAAGACGGCTGTAAATGAGAGCTGCTGCTTTGTCAGACCA